CGAACCGACCCACTGACAGCCCTATATATAACAAGGTTTTAAACGGATACATGTATATGCTCACATTGTTATCGAATCGAGCTCTTTTGGCAGAGCTTTTGCATTTTCTTCTACTTCTTTTAGTCGGACAAGGCTTTTAGCTTGAAGAAGCTACATTATGCTCAAAAAGGGTTTTTTTATTTTTTATTTTTGAAGAAGTTAAGTTTGTTCAGTTTCCTCTAAAAACTTTTTTCGTCAAACAAAATGATTTTCAAAAAATTATTCAAATAGATTCAAAAACAACTCTTTAATCTCATAAACAATTTTTTACTTTTTTCATTAATTGTGAAATATAAAGTTGTGATTGTTTATGTTTCTTTTCAATTCCAACATCATTCCAATGTCCTTTTTTCGAACTTTATTTTCCGACAATTTTTCGTTTGATTCGATATTTCATGATATAAATATCAATTTGGACCGGTTTATTTTTTATTTTTTAATTTTAAAATGTGATAATAATAAATATATTGTCGATTAAGTTTAAATATAAAAATTATCTTAAATTATTAAACGTAAAATTATAATCGTTAATTTTTATTTTCTAACCCACCTTCAACCTCCACTCACACCAATTTCTCTCTATTTCATTTTTCTTCAATTTTTACCGTTAAAAGGGGTAAATTTTATGATGTCAAAATAGACATTGAAAGAATTCAATGATTTTCAAAATAATCATCCTACATCATGCAGTGCTGGTAGACAAACATTTTCTATGAAGTGGAGTATTTTTGTTTTTTTAAAATGGATTTAATGTACAGTATCATTAAAACATTTTGAAAAGATATTCGACGGAATTTATGAAGTTATGTGATCGTTTGTCATTCTTTTTGCCTTATGATGGAAGTTTTCGTTGTATTGTAATTTTAGTACTGATAGAGATTCTTGATTTGTCCTAAATTCTGCACTGTATTATCATTAATTAATTTTTCTTGACTACATAAGTCTTGCATAAGGTCTTGATAAAGAAATTAAATATTAGTGCAACTGATACATGCAATTGGAGATTATATGAGTATGAGATGAATGAGACATAATGTCTTACCTCAATAGGTAGAAAAATGAGGGCTATGTTGAACTTTATTATCTCTTTAACAGGATATCGATACTTAATCATCTATGCCCTATCTTTTTTTTAAAAAAACAGAGATATATTCAAACGCAAAGTCTAGAAAATAAGTTTTGAATCAAATCTTTTAATATTATTTTTGTCACCTATCATCATTTGAAGTGTTTTAAATTTAACGTAATTAATGTGTAAGACAAATATTTTTTTATTTACGCTATCATATAGCAAAGAAAGTAGTGTTAAGAGATGGAATTATTATTTTGTTCAATTTTAAAATATATAACAAGGTTTTTAACGGATACATGTACATGCTCACATTGTTATCGAGCTCTTTTGGCAGAGCTTTTGCATTTTCTTCTACTTCTTTTAGTTGGACAAGGCTTTTAGCTTGAAGAAGCTGCATTATGCTCATAAAGGTTTTTCTTTGAAAAAGTTACGTTTGTTCAGTTTGCATTTTCAAAAAATTATTCAAATAGATTCAAAAATAACTTTTTAATCTCATAAACTATTTTTTACTTTATAAAGACCTTTCCAAATGGGCTAGTTCTTGACTTCTTTAAGTGTTCTATTCGGTCATGATAAATATTATACTTTTAAGTCGACAACGCGACATACAAGAGGACACATATGTGCCCAACAGCTACATCTAACTAGACATGATGGACACGTCAAGCCAAATTGTATGCCCTTATATCAGACAAAAACATGTGACAATAACTGCTAAAACATGGAACCTAATCCACAAAGAAAAAAAAAATGTCACATTCATAAAATACTGAATATTCAAACTCTCGAAAGCTAAATTTAAAAGATATAACACTAATTTAAGTGTCACCCTTAACAATAAATTGAAAGAATTATACACACAAAGGTAAAGACTAAGGTGTTAGTAAGTACTGCAAATTAACTCGTATAAAAAAGAGACGACAACTGCATTACGGATTAACAACATGTTCGGCTAAGCTTAACAAAGAAAGTTTTTATACAAAGAAATGTTACTTGAAAAGTAACTTTTTAAGCATAGACAAACATTATGAATTCTCATCAATTGCGCGAACCATGCAACATCGATGGAACATTTTCATTGCTCAAACCACCCTACAAATGAAATCCGACAACAAGAATTCACTTAAATCGACGATTATATAACTAAAGTTGCATATGAATTTTTACATAGATATATGCGCAAAACCTGCTTTAACTGGGAAAATTGATAGGATGGAACCAGAAAATGGACCCGGGATTCATACGCCGATGGTCTCTTAGACAAAAAAAAAAACTAGACGGATAATTCAAGTCGTCAAATGTAGTCATTGATTGCTAAATATTGTTCGTTCCTCGATTTAATTCATTTAAAATCGGCCATCTTTTAGATCTTGAGTTCTCCCCGACACAAGTTCTCCATCGGCTTTATATTTCCCATTGCAGTTAATGCTGTTGACCAAAGAGCTTTCTGGCATTGCATGACTTCCCCCAGAAAATTTCCCGATGCCATTGTTCGACCGAGTGGAGACTATGCTGTTATCCATGAATGAATTCTCGGAAAAAGTCTGATTCGATATATTCGAACTATTGTCCAGACCACCCTGATGAATTGGAAATGGGAAGCCGATGTCAACGCTCGATGTTTGAGAGTAATGTAGGCCACGGAAACCCATAGTTTTGGAACATAGGTGAGAAAAACTTCTGATTTGTGCTTCCTGTTGGAATCCCGGAAATCCAACGTGATTTTTTCCATTTAATAATTCTCCTGCCTCTATTTCCGAGCTTGGTTTATTCGAGGCTGTTGCTGGCTGAATATGATCATTTGAAGGCAAACTCAAGTACGATGAAGACATCATTTGATCTGAATCCTCTGCCTTTTTTGTAGGTAATCCTGAACCTTTACCTTTGTTCGGCTCCTTTGTTGTAGTCACTTCAAGAACTTGGTTGTGGTTTACGCCGTCTTCAACAACTTTCGGACATTCATTTGTATTAGAAGCCACATTAGTTTTACTCTTTTTACGTGACTCAGATCGACGCTTAGGCCGGGATTCATTCTTCCGAGTACATTCAATATCCTTCTTTTTTGGCCTCGAAGTAAGCATCAACTTTCTCATCTCGACCCTCATCCGTGCAAACATTTTCTCTCTTGCAACTTTAAGTTCGCCTATTAAGGAATCCGTGAAGTTCTTAAAATCATCCAACATTACCATCTCTTCGGTCCTGAGATTTCCATCCCCCTTATTCTTTTCTTTGACAGAATGTCCCCTTGTCTTGATTTGTACGATGTTTTTCTTCCTTTTCGATGTTGCATTCTTTTTGACACCTTCCACATACTGGGTCGTATGGAGCTTATTATTTCCTTGATTAGTTGGAGTATCATTGACTTCATCTTTTTCAGGCAAAACAATATCAAGAACTAACTTATGCTTCTTGTGAACTGGCTCACGACTCGAATTTGATTTGGAATCATCACTTGACGAGTCAACATCATCCTCACGACTCCTAAACTCCCATATCTGCTGAAATGTCTTGTCGGGATTCATAATCGTGTAGGCACCGACTGCCAAATATAAAACATCACAAACTAGTGATTAAACGAAAATTCAAACTACATCAATGTTATTCCTCCAAAGGGACGATTGGGACAAGGGATCATACCACAATATTCTTGTCAAAACTCAAAAGCACTTCTTTGAGTTCTTAAGTTAGTTTTTGCCTGGCCCCTTGCCACCTGAAAAATGTTGGAGAGAATTACGTAACCCCTTAATGAAATCCGCATTAGTTTCAAAGATAAAGCCAGTCTCTTGCAGGGAACTCCGACCCAAAATTTAAGCACGCACGAATGAGAAATCATAAGCAGTAAACGATTAGTTTAAGCCCGTGATACCGATCTATAAAACAATATTTGAAACCGAAACTGCAAAAATGATGTTATCCTTCAAAACAAGATAAAATCTTTCTCAAGAACCAATAAAAGAATTAAGCTGAAGCCATCAATATCAGTTCAGTTTTTCTTGATAATCATATCAATGTAAACTACAACTGAAGAATATGATCGATACTTCTCAGAAAAATAAATCAAAAATACTTTAATTGATTGTTTGGTGCAAGTAGATCATAGTTTCTTCTACTCTTAATACTATCCAATACACTCCAGTCTTGATTAAAAAATAAAACATAAAAGAAAACCAAAATCCCAGAATCTTGAAACCCAGAAAACTACGATACAACAGTTAACAACACAAGCATTATAATAATGCAACAGAAAATATTAAATATCAAAATAAACTATTTTTCTGTTTCTTTGATTATGGAGTAGTCATACCATATCTCAGCAGAAGAAATAGTTCGCACAAAAATACTTAACCCCAACTTCTATTTCTCTAATTCAGTGGCTAATACAGCTTTCAGTCAGTTTTTTTATTTCTTGGGTTCCACTCTCTAAATGGAATAAAAATATTTAATTTTTATGTATGCTTATGGAAGCTTTCAATCTGATCAGTATTTGGGTGGGAAGTAGTGAATTGGTAAGTGGGAAATTATGGGGTTGGCAGGGAACAAGTATAGAATTATGGTATTCGCCTGATTTTGTATCTAATTTAGTGATGAACCTTGAACATTGTTTAATTATTATATAAATACTTTTTATTTTTTTGGTTATTCAAGAAAGTTTGAGAAAATATAATAAGTTAATAACTATAAATCTCATTTAATTATGATATCATATCATATCATATTATTTTCATTTCCGACATAATTAAAGTAAGTCAGATCTTCGTTATATCATGATTTATTTACCATTTTATTGGTTTCAAAAAAGTATAAAACTTGATCGAGTTGAGTGATAAATCTCATTTAATTATTATTTCAATATTGTTTCTATTTATGTGATTTCTTTTTTAAGAGATTGTCACGTGATTAAATAAATCTCAAAACATTCATATTAAGCATAAGAGGCCAAAACATATTGAGCACTGAGCAGAATAGCCCATAACATCCAATAGAGAAAAGAAATGCCCTTAGAGGCCATGGAAATGGTAGAAAAGTTCCATTTCCTCTAGTGAGATTGTCGCCTGGGGTTGTAGGAAAGTCTTGAGCTAGAAAGTATTATCGTGACCATGTTGGAGTCACACTAAAATTTTCATTTTCATTCTTCAACTCATTTTCAACCACACATTTTATTCAATAAAATAATATTTTTCATCACATCAATAACATGTCCTTCTTTTTCAACCACACATTCTCCATCAATATACTATTCCAAAATACGTTCTTCCAAAATAATGTGGCTCAAACACACTCCGTGTGTTCGATGTTCGATTTGTATTGCACATTTTGCTGACACGTTAGGTGACATGTACATTCTTTATTGTCGAACATGTTCGACACGGTGTTAACACATCGTAGCCGACTTTTCATGAGTATTTAAAATTATTGGAAACAAAAATAAAAGAGGAAACTAACCTATGCCGAATTAAAATCGATCGGCAATAGATTTGAGGAGACCAATGCTGATGGATTCTTTCATTTGGTTGGGTTTCAATCGTGAATGGGTTGATTTAGGTTTGAATTATTGTCAAACTGAACATATTGAGTTGGGTTTGGATTGGACTTAAAACCAATCCAATTATTTAGGTGGCAATGGGAGTCACCTCTAATTTTTCGATCAAAATGCATCACAATGTCATTCAACAATTAAAAGTGGATCGTCAATGACCTAGATTGTGTCATATAGCATTACTTCTAAAATATTTTTGATTTTAAGGATATTTGTCTAGAGACCCACAAACGTAAATAATTCTGATTTTTTTTAAATTTAATTATAACGACTTACTATTTTTCATTTACAATATTGATGTCGAGATTTTAAAGGCCCACCCATTATTATAATGAACATAGAAGGATAACTTACACAAATACTCTTAAAATTAAGATCATTTTGGAAACTCAGTATAAGATGAGAAAATAAAAATAAATACTTCAAATTACAACTCAAAAAAAAAAAAAAAAAAAA